CCCTGATTGAATTGGCTCTGTCAACACTGGTTCTCCACTTGTGAAGTAACTCCCTGCTCTCCATGTGTCAGTATATAACTTAGAGAATTTTTTCACTTCAAGGTCCCAGAAGCAAAGACAAGGTTTTCATCTCGAGGCCAAAAGACCAAAAACATCAAGACACTTGATCACGGCCTTGGATAGACCAAGAGACTACTGACACTTGATCTTAGCTACACTTGATCTTAGCTCATAGAGAGCCGAGAAACTTTCACTCTATGCAGCTGAAGAAGTGAGGTTTTTACCCACAAAAGCTTATGCCCAAATAAATCTGTTAGTCTTTAAGGTGCCACCAGACTCCTTGTTGTTTTCCTAGAGGTGATGACGTAAGCTAGGATCAAACCCGTCTGCTTGGAGGTGGTTAAATACTTACCTCTCTGCAGAGCTCCTTTCTCTTGTCTTCTTGGAGCTACTTTCCTTTAATCTGCGCAGGATCCCTGAGACAGATCCTCAGCTGGTGTAAACTGTAATAGTTCCATTGATTTCAATGGAGCTCTGACAATGTAAACAAGTAAAGGATCTAGCCCCCTATCTCTGTAATGTCTCCATTCCACCTGGTGAGCACTCCCTTTCCATGTCACCGGAAATTTCCTTTGGCCTGTAGAGACCCCTTTCTCCCCACACAAACTGCAAGAAATCGAGTTGTTCAGGTTCCGTTTTCTTATTCAGGCCCTGCAAGGGCTGCATTTCCCTGGACTTTGGTACCCCGTACCCTCCCTCATCCAAGCCCTGTGAGATTGCTTACCCCTATTCCTCCTGTGAGATTCGTTTTTCCTTTTTTCAGAGCTCATTTCACTCTTGTTCTCTGGGTTATGCGGGGCTCCCTTGATGTGGGACCTACATTCTTCTGGTCCCCTCGGGGTGCAGTTCAACCACGGACCACCATATACCCCTGTGACCACCAGCTGTGACCGCCTTCCTTCTTCCCCACTGGAGTTGCACTTTTCCAGGGCTGATCTGGGTCTCTCCTTCCTATAAAGCCCAGGAGGTGGTAAAGAATGTAAATCAGAGTGAGTGGGCACCAGTTCTGTTTGATTAAAAGGCCATGCAAGGGGATCCCCTCTCAATACATGGTGCCAACCCTTAAGATAAGTGTAGTTTCACTGTAAGTGGAACGGGACATTCTTAAGAGACTCTTTCCAAGGATGATTGAATTCATCGGCGTTAGTTCCTGTATTGCCCAGGCTATGCTTGCTCCTCAAGGTTGTCTCCTGCTCATTGTACGTCTTTGTAGGGGCTATCTCAATTCTGGAGGCCGAGTGAGAAGTCCATGAGAAATACTGCGGCGGGCACAGTGGAGGTCTCAGCGGAGTCTGAGTCACGTCAGCGGCAGAACTGCACGTGCCAGCTCGGCAATGGCGGTGGGGCGCGCGGTCATTTCGCGTGCAGACGCCGCCTTATTCAGCGCGTGGAAATGCCAATTGCACGCGCGCAAACACACTCACGCGAGTGCAGGGGCATTTTTGTACGTGCACCTTGGCACGTCTTCAAACCCCCTCCAGGAGCACGTGCGGCTCTGGACGGGGGAGGAGTCCAGGTGGGTGGGCACTGAATGGACGGAGTGAGTTTTGGTCTCCTTCGGAGCCCTTTTGCCCGACCTAGGAGGTGGCAGATCCCCACGTGAAACACAGAGTGGCGCTGTCTGGCCACGGGAGCTGCGCCCTGGCCCATGCCGGCCCTGGCCTTTCCCGGGTGGCTGAGCCGCACTCCGGACGCTCCGCCGGGTGGGAACATAGATTCCTTTTCATCTGCTGCCCTGCGGGGAAAGGGGAGGAAAAGCTGGGGCCAAATACGACATCACGGGAAGAGGCAGCGCATGGCTCACTCCCGGAGTGCCTCTGCCCGTCGGCTTTGGCCTGTGCCCCTCCCCACACCGGGCCAGCCTCCTCCCTCCTGCGATCGGCAGCGTCCCACTCTCCCCGGGCCCAGCGGCCTCCTGTCCCCTCCCTCCCTCCGCGGCCTGGCTCTTCCCACCCTCCCGCTCCCCCGAGACCCCCGCCCCCACGCCGGCGCAGCGGGGGGACGCTGGTTTCACCTGTTGCCCGGCCGGCCGCTTGCTGCAGCGGGAGCCGTCAGTGTTCCGCTGGGTGAGTGTAAATGGGTTTGACTGGCCGCTGATCCCGAGGTCAGGGCTCGCTAATCCCGCGCTCTCCAAACAGCCCCCCTCCCGCCGGCCCCTTGCGTCATTCAGCCGCAGCAGCCCTGCTGCTGGCACCCGGCTGGAGCGGCCCGCGCCGCCGCAGCGCTGAGCCGCAGCCACTTGTGGCGCCTTGGTTTGCTGCGCTGAAGGCCGAGGCGATCCCTCCCCCTCCCCGGTCCCCTCCTTCTTGGGCCTCGCCTGGAGGGGTCTCCTTGCCCACGAGCACCTGCCCCGAGTACACGCACAACCAGAGGGTATTGCGAGAGCCGCCCCCCGCCCACCACTCTGCCATGTGGCTCTGGGGTGGGGCTGGGAGGGGGGCAGGGGAAGGGGAAGGAGAGGGAAAGCAAAGGTAGGGGGAGGAGGGGAGAAAGGATGGGGCAGCTCTAACGGCCTGGGGGAGATGAGCGGGGGCTAGGGGAGGAGGAAGGGAAGGAAAAAGTCTGGGGGGAGAGGGAGTGGAAGGGAGGAATGGAACAGAACAGGGGGAGCAGAGGGCAGGGGAGTGGGCGGGGGTCGGCAGAGGGATCGGGGCGCAGGGTGGACGGGAATGGGAGAGGGCAGGAACAGGAGCGGCCACCTCATTTCCCCCAGCAAATCACGCCACAAAGCAGGGTGAAGGGAAAGCACTGAAGCAGATGCCGGTGGTGGTGGTGCAGTCCCAGTTTATTGTGTCCCGCCGCCCACCCGGATTAGTTGGGGGTTTCCGGGGAGGGGTCTACTTTCTGAATAAGAAGAAAACGTTATAGCGCGGCCCAGCGCTCAGCGGCCCCCCCCCCCCCCACGGGCTGATGTTGCCTGGAGGAGGTAGCACAGCTGGGAGGGAGGGTCCGCGCCCAGCCGCCTGGCTCATCTCTCGGGCTTCCTCTCCCGGCGTGGCGATCGAGGGGCTTTGCTCTGGGTGTCCGCAGCTTTGCGGGTAGATTCTGGAGACCCACCCCCTTTCCAAAGAGAGTATTTGAACGGACCACTTCATACAGCCTGATATCTCCCCCAAGAGCTCAGCGTATTCAGTCGCCAATGTCCCTCCCCCACTTTTACCAGCCCTCGGGCTCCTGCACAGTGCCCTCCCCCCCAGGGGGGAGTGGAGTTTGCGGGAAACCCTAATCCCCAGAGCCCAGCACTGCCCTCACCCCAGCTAGCCGGGCTTCCGAGTCCCCCCCCCCCCCCAACCGTTGGGAAAAGAGCTGCGAATCAAGGCCAAGTTTGCCTTCTCGTTTGAAGTTTAGAAAGAATCGACCGCCGCCCCCCAGCCTTAGCAAATTATGCCTCCGATCCTGCTGGTCCCTCTCCCCTAAGAGGTCTAGATGAGGGCGGAAGCTAGGCCAGGAGCCAAGAGAGGGACAGCAGTGTCCAGGGGTGGGGGGCAGAGCTGCATCTCTACCCCTGGGGGGAAGCCCTGAATCCAACCCCCCTCCCCCAAGCTCCATATAACAGATCTCAGTACAAACGATATTCTCCCCTCCGCCCCCTTCTTTTTAGTGCCTGGAATTTCCTCCTTTACTGAAAACGAAATGCGTAGTTTTTAATTCGTCCATATAGGTGATTTTAATAGCTCTGTCAATCATGTTATAGGATGAACATTTCATACATTTTTGATGTAAAGTACTTAATCCATAAATCGTTTAAACCTATCTTTAGTTCTGCATATTAAATTATTCATTTATATATAACTTGCAAAGAAAAGAGCCCGAAAATGAACTATTTTACCATACCTAACCCTATTTTTCCGCCTAACAAAGTTGTTTTAATATTGCTTGTAGATGCTGTCTATAGCCACACACGATTTAAAAAAAAATCAAAGGAGCAAAACCAATAAACCATGAGCAGATAATACATTACATAATCATGTAATTCTCTCTTTGACATTCATGGAGAGGATTTTATTCCCTTGAAAGGAATGCTCGGAATATTCGAAATTTATTTAACTGTATTCGGGGTTGTTCTTTTTAATCCCGATAAATTAAAAGTGCAGATATTTCTATTATTTATAGGGCTAATGCTAAATGGGGGAGGGGAAGGAAGAGTGAGGGGGCAGAAAAGGAAGAAAGAAAAGAAAAATCTCACCAAGAGTGGATGGAAATCGTTCTATATTTAGTTTGGAACTGTTCAAATGTTTATTTTCCCAAAAAGGATTATTACATAATTTTAATATGTAGAACAGTGCATACAACAGCATTTCCAAATTATATTTTGTTTATGCAAATTTAGTGGCTTATTTTCTTTCCCCCCTAATAAATCGGAACTTCAGTTACTCTGTAACTCTTAGAGAAAGGGCATGTATCAAGGGTGCACCAAACATTTTAAATATATATACACCCCTATAAACACACGCGTGTACATATACACTCATATTGCGCCACGAGGCGAGAAATATGTGTGTGTATGTGTGTGTCGTATTAAGAAATAGTTCAACAGGTACTCAATTTATTCTGCATATTTAAAAGTACAGATGTGATTATTTTAAATTAGAAAGATGTAGGATCATGCTTGGCTAGAAGGAGCACAACTACAGAGCTTTCCCATAAGGTACTGGTTTGTGTGTGCGGTGTTTGTACACTGAACATTTCACAAACCTCCTCTGCTGAAAATCTAAACCTGCACACACAACGGTTTAATAAAGGATCCAAATAGTTACAAAAAGGATTTTTATTACCTTGTTAGAAATCAATAGACATCTTTCAGTAAAATTTCGCAATCACTTTAACGAATGAGTGGTTTAAACAAAATTATCAAAATGACTCCAAAGAGTTACATATGTCAATTGTCATGTTAGCATTATAGTTAAAGTGCAATCTCTAATACGGACCGAACCCGCTCCTTATTAACCAACTAACATTGCCCCATTTTTGGATGGATAAATTACTTATTCACCACCAATAAAAAGATGCTCTAAAGCCTGCTGTAACGATGTTTCCACTCTGGATGTTAAAATATTTCTTTTTCTTTTTTGTTTAAATATGTTACGACTAATTTCAAATTTTATTTGCTACAATATGATTTTTAAATGCAATACGGAGTGCTGTCGTTACTATTAAATGAAGTTTACAGCAAACTTTTAATTCCAGAATATCGCAAGGTACCGATAAACACGTAGAAAAAAATATAATAATTTTTCAAAGCATTAAACAACATCAGGATCCTGTTAGGAACAAATACATCATTTTTGCTTGACAGCTTTTCACACCAGTTGTTAAGAACTTGCATTCCAGTTACACAGGATTTGTGTGTGTGTGTGTGTGTGTGTGTGTGTGTGTGTGTGTGTGTGTGTGTGTGTGTGTGTGTGTGTGT